TTAACTTTTGTCGCTGCAGGTAATTAGCTAGTCAAAATGGTACGCAAAAGGCCGCAAACGTGTGCTGATGATCAGTAAAGTCACCCCATTAACAAATAAATAAGTATTATTATTCTTGTATTGGAAAAGTAGGAACGTTCCACTTGGCAACAAGAGGACCTGGCCAAGTGTTGGGTCAGTAGAGGCTGCTGATCCCACCCGAATTGTGGTGGAAACCCAACAACTTTTGTTATCTAGTTTAGTTTAGTAGAACTGAGTTCAGATTTTATTAGGTTTTTTCTGTGTTCATGGTCAAGTGTTTTTTTTTTTTTGGGTCAACATGGTCAAGTGTTCTTGGCCGGGGTTCATGGTTGAATCCTAACAATCTATCTACACTAAAACACAATATGGCTGTTTGCTGGTTACGAAGCTGCTGCACCTTCTGCATGAAAGTACTTATCCTCGGCTATCTTCACTTCTGGCCTTGGCTTCGATGCACATTTACTACGTGTCACATCAAATATATAAAAATAATAATTAAAAAAACTTATTTATTTATTTATATATATATATGAGAGTTGTAAAAGGCTTGTAGCCACCATTGTATTTAATTGAACGGGTACAGTTCCAGAGAAGCTCCATGTCAGTAGTGTGTTGATGATCATTTTTTTGGCTCTCCTCGAGGCTTGAGTTGCAAGTTACAGCTTCTTACAATCATTTTCTTTTCCTTTTATAGGGTTAGATTCAGATTTAATTAGATCAACCACTTTGTTTCAATTGTTTTACGGGTAGTAATTTTCAAGAAATCCAGCGTACGGTTGACATTAATTTGGGGGCAGTGAGATTTGGGTTTGGATTTGATGGAGCCAAAATTTACCATTGGAACTGAAATCGAAGGGCAAATCTTGCAGCCAAATCAAAAGATTAGACAGCTAAAATTAAAGCCTCAATCAATGATTGGTGTGTAAAGGACGGTAAAGTAGGTACCACATATTAAGTAATGTTGCAACTTTTACAACGAATCAATATACTTACAATAAGATTTACCACTATTAACTTGTTATCAAACTTATTAGTCATGTTCTTCGAGTCACGAAGAGTCTAAGGACCTACTCTTAAATTTAATATAAGAATGAAGAAAAAACTTATTTAAAAATTCATATTATATTATTTTTACTTAAATAAAATAAGTTTCTGTGAAAACAAAACACATTCCAAACTCTTGCACAATCGCCTCTGACTCCATGGAGGTCGATGCCCCTATAACCTTCAGTCCCTCCTCAAGGTCCTCTTTAGCTTTTCCAACTCCGGCATTGCGAATTCTTCTGATTTAATTTTTCATCTCTTGTGGATTGACAAAGACTGAAGATTTTGGAAAAACTTAAATTTGGGACTCTTTGAATTCTTTGGTTTCTACCATTGTTTTTATTCTCTTTTTGGTATATTGTTGAGAAGTTGATATTGGTTGGTTGATGATTCAATGGTGTATTGGTATGTTCGAAGGTAGGCAGCGGCTAGCTTCCTAGAGAACGTGTTTTGTTCAGTCGACACCACAAAAAGATAGAACCTTTTTTTTTTTTTTTACACAAAATTTGTTTTGTTTAATTGAAAATAATTTAAACAAAACTTATATGGATTTTAAAATTTTTTTTTTCCACCTTTAGATTAGATCTAATGGTGGGTGACCACAAATTTCTTAGACCTTGGTGACCAAGAGAACGAGACTGTCAACTTTTATATCTTCATCATCATACATGTGAGTCGATCATAAGACATTCTCCAATCAAATGATGACAAATATTGCTAAACTAATGACTAGTCGATCTTTGTCAAAGTCTTTTATTCATTTTATGTTCGTGGTCAAAATATTTTTTTCTATTTTAGGGCACTTCCACTGCAACCTATTTACCCGGGCAGAAAGGGGCCTAAGGGCCAGAATCCAACTCCACAACACTAAGTTTACCCCGGGCAAGGGGTGGGTCCCACAAGCCCAGCCAAGCCCACAGGCAAGAAAAGCCTGCCCTTGTGCTTGAGGGCTGCTGACGTCATGCCCTTGTTCATAGGGGTGGAAGTGCTCTTATCTTAGACCAATATTTGCTCTTAATAGATTTGAAGATATGGAAAGAAAAAAATCCCCCTATATGGAAAGGAATCACCTTGGATTTCCCCTTCTATATATGTAATTCAACATTGCATAAGTCATAAGACTTTTTTTTTTGGCCAAGCAACAGTCATACTCATAAGAAACAATTCCTAGGAGCCCTTAGATTTTAACAAAAACATATATCTTTTTTATTCAATGTAGATTGAAAAAGCAAAAAATCAAACTTCGACGTGTAAGGCCCCGTTTGGGATTGCTTTTTTTCGCCAAAAATCTGCTTCACTTTAAAGTTAAGCAGTTTAAGGTGTTTGGTAAAAATAAAATATCCCGATTATTTTAAAAGCAGTGGCCTTTTGACAGCAGCTTTTAAAAGCATGTTCTGAGTTGCTTTTCAAAGCTGCTTTCAAAAGAAGCACATATGAACTTTTAATGAATTTTTTTAATTCCCAAAACACTATCATTCATTTTAAAAAATGACACCACCACCATATCCTTCTCCTCCTCATCCTCCACCACCTTCACCACCACCTCCTCCACCTCCATCTCCACCACCACCACCTCCACCTCCACCTCCACCACCACCACCTCCTCCAAAATCTCCACATCCACTACCACCTCCACAACCAACACCATGCTGCCACTACCACCACCACCATCACTTCCACAATCACCATCCTCACCACCACCACCACCACTACCACTACCACCAACTCCACCTTAATCACCACCACTACCTCCACTCCATCACTACCACTACCACCAAATGATTAGTACATAACACTTTTAACATCATATCTATTTTAGTCATTATTCACAGTTACAACAATTTTATATTACAGTTTACCAAGCGATTTTGACACTGTTTTTTGTACTAACAGCACTTTAAAAATATTGTTTACAAAATATGGAGCTACTTTACTTTATAGCTAATTATTTTCAAAGCACAGCAGAAGCAACTTTTTTTTAAAAGTGACAGCAATCCCAAACTGAGCCTAAGATAAGTCATATTCACTATAAGTATAAGCCTCGACAATGCACTTATGATATTTTAATGACATCACCATAAAAAATTACCAAAAATGAAAAATTTATTTGCTTAAAGTCTCAAACTCTACACACATTGGTGGAAAACTCTTCTTTTGTGCACAAGATGCCACCTTTGATCCAAAATAACATATCATAAACTTGATGAACAGATTAAGGGGCCCGTGGGGCAACATTTTCATAAGATTGGAGTGGGACCCAGGGAGGGTACTATGGTCTAAGTCGTTGGGATTTCTTGGCTTCATGCACCCCAAACCGAGGGCACAAGACTGAGCTCTGGACGAAGAGGTACACATACTCTTAACCGATTTGACCATCCATTTAAATTTTGCTTGGATGCATTTACCTTCTTTTGCCCTTTGTCCCTTTTGCTGCCACCAACCTTCCTTATTGCTTGGTAAATTCTTATGCGTGCTGCACAATGTTTGGTTTCTTTCTGCTGCATTTTCGTGGAGTTTTACTCGTATACGTTTTACATAGGCAACTCAGAAGATTTTGAATTCTGGATCTCCCTTGTTATTTTTGAATTGGAATTTCGAAATATAACGATCAATTCAATGCCTTTAAAACTAAAATGTCACGTTTTTTTATTTTTCGAAAATAACTAGATATTTAATTCAAATTTGTGACCCAATAATATATCATGAAAGTAATGGATCCCATCGTCATCTATGTTAGTCTTGCGTTCAAATTTTTAAATTATAAAAAATTATGGATAGAAGTCTTATGATTCTAGCTTATCATAAACCTCAATTCAAATGAAATAATAAATTTTGTCTAATCTCATGTGAGAAAATTATGCGAGAAACAAGAATGAACAAAGTTATAAAGATATGTACGGAAAGTTTTACTTAAACAAGCTCTCCTTTTTTCTTTGTTGCATTGCATTTGAAGCGATATGAACTTTAAACCGAACTCATTTTAACTCATTTCATGCATATTGACTTAAAAAAACTCTGTGAGAAAGAAAAATCTAGTGTAAAGAGAGTTTTGATTATTGCCAAAGTAACTGCTAAATAGACAACTTGAGAATAAATTTCCCTTTCAAAGTTTGGTTGACTTTTGATCCTTAACTGAAAATTTTAGCAAAAATCATGACAAATTAGCCTCTCACATGATTTACTGAATTTTATTTTTATTATTCGTACTATATGATAAAAGATTCTTAAGTCTCATGTACCTACTTGAACATCTTATCTGACACCATTTTTTAATCTAAAAAAAGGACAAACTAAATAATTAACAAAAACACCCAAATTTATTTTTCTTAAAATAGTCCATGTGCCAAGCTTATCCCCATTGATCTCAATGGAAACATTTAGATAGAATTTGTGATTAAACTCCAATTTCCATTGGAACATTATGCATATTAAGATTGAAGAGCTCAATTCATGTTGGATTGTAAACCAGAAATAAAAAGAAGAAATTGAAAGTTGAATTGGTACAGACCTTTGGCATGCTCTCAAGTGGCCGTGTATTCAAGTCTCCATGATATCCGTGCGTATAAGTCTTCCCTGCTTCCTTTTCTTCGGTGAAAAAATAAAAGTTGAATTGTTAATTTATTACCATAAGTAGGGAATAAACTACAAAGTGTTTTGCTACTAATTTGGCAAAGCCATCGAAATTTAATTACCCTAAACATTGTAATTGTATTATTCATATTTTAGCAAAATGACCAAAATACCCACGATGGAAAAATGTGCTCATATAGCTGGGAAAGTTGGACTTCAAAGTTGAACACCCTCTCTCGTCCAGTCTCACTCATCTTTCACTAAAATCTCTGCGAGCGAGAGGAGAGAGAGAGAGCCTTCTTTTTTTTTTCTTTTTTCTTTTTTTTCTCTCTCTCTCTCTCTCTCTCTCTCTCTCTTAATGTTTATAAATTTGAGAACCAAACTGTTGCCTTTTTACTTTTACGAGGAACGCCCCCAAATTCCTCTGCATTCTCTCTTCTCTTCCAGCCAACCAAAAGAAGCAAACAAGCCCACACTTCAGGGTTGGCTTGTCCGAGTTATCTCTTACTTGCTCTCTTTACCTGAACGAAAACGAAAGCTCCATAAAAGCAGAGAGAAGATTAAGGCACTGTTTTTCAAGTTTTTTCAACCTTCGTCAGTTACTCACCATCTCTTGTCTGATTCTTGTAAGTCCCCCTCACTCTTACTTATCCAGTAAAACCAAAACCAAAACCCAAACCCAAACCCAATTTTTACTTTAAAAAAAAAAAAATTTGTTTTTGTTTCTTTGTAATTATTGTAGTTTGCCTGTTTTAATTACTGATTTGTGACTGAAACCCATTTCTAATCAAGCAATGCCACTTGATAGTACGTCCCAGAAATCACACTGCTCATGATTCTCTCTCTCTCTCTCTCTGTTTCATTGTCCCACTATTTTTGTGAAGCTCTGTTTTTTCTTCTTTTGTTCCCCATTTGTTTTTTCTCTATTTACACCATTGATTTCTTTTTTATCACCAAGATCTTGTGGCTCCATGACCAATATTCAAAACCCAAATCCCAAATTTCTCAGATGAGTAAAGATTCTGGGTTTCAAAATTGGTTCTTGAAGACCAAATCTCACTTTTACATCCAAAAACAAAGCTCTGAACTTGGTCCTCTGCCTGAAAGAAACTCAAAAAAGTAAGCTTTTTTTATATACTTAATTAAGTCAGATTTATTTGATCCCTGGCTAAAGATCTCAAAAAAAAAGGCCAAGCCTTTTGGTTTGTTGTTTAATCTCGCTCCTCCACTCTGTCGTTCCTCTCTGTAAAGAAATATTCCTCACACCAAAAAGGATGAACCTGGCCTATTCTCTCTCTCATATATTAAATATCACAAGCCATTTTTCTTCTTTTATATTGTAAATTTTCTTTCTTTCTTTCTTTTAATTTTTTTTTTCATTCGCTTCTTGCTTACGTTAATTCCTAAGCTGTCTCCGTTTCCCCTGCAACTGGGTCTTTTATATTGCCGTTGAATGCTCCAGTTGACACTAATTTAACCTCTTTGATATTCCGTCTCGCCGGAAAAATCTGCCAATAAAGAATGGTTTTTTCAAAGCACCCATTTTGTTTTTCTTGACGACTTTCACTCCCCAAATCATGTTTTTCTCTGAAACTTAGAAAAAAGTATCGTTGGGTTATAGAATCGGATAACCTTAAAGTTTCCTACTTAACTCGCCTCCTCTCCGTTCAGATTTTCAGACGGTGATCGGACGGCGGAGCAATGCGGACCAACGGTGGCAAGATTTCCAAGGTACCCAATTCATCTTTTGCCATCGAATATTTCGTTTATCGTAATATATCGGCTGGGCCGCAACCGAAACTGAAACCCGAAATGTTTTGTCTCAGCCCTCGTGGCCGAAAGTAGTGGCGAGGAAATGGCTCAACATACCGAGTGGCGGGGACGAGTTTCATTCCGATTACTCGCTCAAAAGTAAGATTTCGTTTGTTTTTCGGGTTGTTTCGGTGTTTCTCGTCTCGTTTCGGGTATCGGAACTGAAGTGGTGTGTTTGTTGTGAACAGTGTCAGACGAGACTGGCAGGAGGAGGAGCTGCTCGGACCAAGACCGCTACGTCGTCGTACCGGACGACTTTTCAGGTAACTTTACTGTGCAACGGCACTGTATTCGTACTTGGTACTGCTTTGGCTCTTTCCCCTCCATGTGGCACATGTCCTCGTATCCCTCTGAGCCATCGGATCCACGGCTCTGTTTTAATTGATTGGACTCGAACTAGGTTATGATGGGCTCTCCCTGATTCAGTTGGGTCCCCTGGGGTTTGGTTCAGAGCTAATTCTTGATGTGCCACGTGGACGGTGGATGATGTCGGTTGATTAAGTTTGAGTTATTGTGTTGCAGTAACTTACACTTTTGACTAGGTGTCCTTGCTATATTCTTTCCGAAAGTTATTGAGCTTTTTCATTTTTGGGTTTTTAGTTGAGTTTTAATCTTATTTTATTTATTATTTTGAAGATGGTTGTACATTGATGGAGGAAACAACAAGTTTAGGGGTGGAGGTACCAGCTGTCACTGATAATCTCAACCTCAGGTATATTTTGATTTCAGATTTTATAGTCAATTTAAGAGATTGAATAATTGTTGCTTTCGATTATCCACGTGAATGACTGCTAGTCGTTGACAGATATCCACATATTATATTGTGGCCGTAATTTTTCTTAAATGAGTTTGACTAATGCATGATTCAATTTTCCTTACTTTTCTCAAGAGTGTATGACTAAGTCTTGGGTTTAGAAAAGATGATTCCTTCCACACAATTTTTTTGGGTTTTGACTATAACGAAGTCGTTTTGTCTTGGTATGTGTTGGATGGTTTTTCAGAATGTTCGTGGGGACTTGGAATGTTGGAGGGAAATCACCTCACGAGGACTTGAACTTGAGAGAATGGCTGGGGTCCCCAACTCCGGCAGATATCTATGTTCTCGGGTAACGGTCTTTCCTTGCATTTCTCTCTCTTTAGGCTTTTTGCATTGCGTCCTGAATTAGACCCCTTTCTTGTTTTTATCTCTGTCTTTGTAATAGTCTAAATGTTGAAGAGACTTTGCGCCAACGAGTAGTCGTCCAACCTTGACATCACATAATAAACACTTTTAAATCTAATATTCTTTTTATACTTGGGTTCTGTTTACCACGTTTGTTTTACATCGCAACTTTTAGTTATGTGAATAAGTATACGTGTGTGATGTCCTCTTGTCAGACAGTTTAACAGGTTATGTAGTTCTTATGAACTCATTAATGTGTTACGTTAACAGTCTAACACCATACATCAAATTATCTGATAAAAGGATGTACATTCTTATTAATTTGGATTTTGTGTGTGTTTTAATTAGGTTCCAGGAAATTGTCCCTCTGAACGCCGGAAACGTATTGGGCGCGGAGGACAAGAGTCCAGCTGCCAAGTGGCTTTCCCTGATTCGCGAGGCATTGAACAAGAATGACCCTGGACTTTCTCAATATTACAACAATGCCACCCATACGGAACATCCTTCACATTTTGACCGGCAGGCCATCATGAAGCCTAGGATCAGCTTCTCCGACTTGCTCTGTTTAGAAGATGAACTTAGCAATGCGGATTTCGAAGGACTGCTGAATTTGAATCCGGCGTCCACTTCAAGTGGAGAAAACTCACCGAGCTCGCCATTGATGTGTTCATGGCCAGGCAGCAGTCCGATGCAACAACGTCGTTACTGCCTAGCAGCAAGCAAGCAGATGGTTGGAATTTTCTTGTGCGTGTGGGTTCGTGCAGACCTTTGTAGGCACATTAACAACATGAAGGTCTCGTGCGTTGGTAGAGGCATAATGGGATATCTTGGAAATAAGGTTAGCTGCTTGTAATGCCATAACACAAGTGCATGCAAGATGTAGCATATTACTAGATAAATAAAACTATTTCTACCATCTGACGTTATAGAACGTTAGATAATACAAACAGCAGAACTACCGGTACATATATGACGGCATTATAGCAAGGCTTGTAGCTCTAAGCATTATAATTTTTTGTTTGCAACAGGGTTCAATATCAATCAGCATGACATTGCATGGAACAACCTTTTGCTTTGTGTGTGCCCACTTAACCTCTGGTGAGAAAGAAGGGGATGAGATGAGAAGGAACTCAGATGTCATGGAAATATTGAAGAAAACAAGGTTTTCACATTCATATAGAACCTCACAACAACCACTTCCTCCTGATAGAATTTTGGATCATGAGTAAGTCATTCTTTTCCCCTTTTGCTTGTTTTATTTACCCCTTTGTTTAATGTTCACCATGGTTGTTTTAATCCTCCAATTAACACATGTTTGCCCTCTTAACTTAATTAACAGCAAGGTTATTTGGCTAGGGGATTTAAATTATCGGCTAGCAGCTGCTTGCTCCGGTAACACACATGAGCTACTGAAGAAGCATGATTGGCAGGCACTTCTAGAGAAGGATCAGGTAAGATACTAATGTAAGTACTGTTTTTCCAAACATAGGTTTGGATTGGTTGACTACGAATCGAAAAGGATGTTTTGGTACTTTCAATCTCACGCTTGGATTTGGTTATATTTTGGCAGCTAAGGATAGAGCAACAAGCTGGTCGAGTATTTAAAGGGTGGGAGGAAGGGAGGATATGTTTTGCTCCAACCTATAAATACCTTGCTAATTCTGATCATTATGTTGTCCAAACTTCTAAATCTAGAGAGAAGAGACGCACTCCTGCCTGGTAAGATTCCAATTGGGTTGTTTTCCTATGAGGAATTTTATCTGTACATTCATTGGGCATGTTGAAATGTGGAGTAAGTAGTGATCACCATCATTACACACACACACACGTGCAATTATATGTTTCATAATGTTTGGTTTTGAATTTTTAATCATATGCAGTATTTTTGTTTCTTCCTTTGCACATTTCCCACATCATATGCTTTTTAACATAGGTGAGACTGGCCTATTCACGCGGTTTTCGCCTCTATCGGAGATGTGATCGATAATGTGATCAGTAAATGTGGTTCATATAAGTTCACGTCGTTGAAAATATTTCTAAGACTATGACTTTAGTTGGACCTAAACTTATTAAGCCCCCCCATATTCAATTAGTGTAAACATCCCCTCATAACCGACAGGGGTCATTTCCTATGTTATCTTTTTCTAGTAACCGACTTTCCACATTGCTATCGAGCTGAGTTTATGCAAATAATCTTTAACTACTACTTGCTACATTAATAAGTAATGGAGGGGACCAATACTGTGAGAGCTGAGGGAAACCAAATAAATAAATAACATATCACTTCTTTGTATTTCCGCCACAGACCGCATGAAATCAATAGTCTAATCAGCCATCATTTATTTTGACATTAGTTGAAGCTGATGGCTTGTTGACAGTTTAATATAGGAGAGTCGGCAGGTGAGACCAGAGACCTGTTTCCTTCATCTATATATAAAAAATGAACATGTGACAATGACGTGTACGGACCGGCCATGTCTGCAATATCATATTCAAAACAAGTTGCTTTTATTTTAGTCTTCTGTACTATTTTTTTAATCTAGAAACCAACCCAAACCCAAACCTGAAAACTAAGTTTTTCACTTGCCCTATTAAGTATCATGACATGGTGGTTATATATGGATTAGTAAATGTGGTATGAATAATTTCTACTGATCGAACTTTTGTTCGGAGAAAGTTAAATGAATAAATTTATTGAAACGCTAATGTGTTTTTTGGTGTATGTGACAGGTGTGATAGGATTTTATGGAAGGGGGAAGGGCTTAAACAAATGTGTTATGTGAGAGGGGAATCAAAGTTTTCAGACCACAGACCAGTCTATTCATTGTTTTCAGTCCAATTAGACTTGTTGGCTAACAAGAAAAAGCCCAACTCTGCTGTGACCACAACAGCAGCTTCCACAGCCAAAGCCAAGTCTTGCATGCTTAAGTCTTCAGCAACATGCGTGGCCAAAGTCCAAGCAGAAGAGCTTCTGCTGCTCACCAGAGCCAAAAGCTGCCTAGACACCACCTCAAGGTTCTGAGCTTGTACTTCCAAACACAGCCCACATTTTTTAAGACAAAAAGCAGAACCAGCCAGTGTAAAAATCACAGATTACCTGACAAAAGCAGAAGTTGTTTGCATCCCTATGATCTGGCTTTTTGACAGTTCGGGACTGCAAAATTTAATCTCAAAGCATGCTTAGATTTGGATGATGAAATTGAGTTGGTGAGCTGGTGGAGCAGAGGAGTGAAGCACAAGCATAAGTATAGGATTGGGAAAAATTAGGCATGTAGAAAGAAATGGCTGCATCTCTGTGTATTAGATGCTTTTTTGAAGCCAGCTTTTGGTACAAGTTGATGATTTTGGGTACTGGTTAACAACAGTAAGTGGTGGTTCAGCTTTTAAGCAGAGGAATTTCTCTTTCTTTGAAATTTAAGAGGGAAGTGGAGACAGAGATTGATAGAGAGTTGAAATGTATATCAAAAGGAGGACAAGTTTTGATTGAAAGTTTCTGTAAGGGAACTGGGATGTGGGGCTCTAGTGTCCTTGCTGCCCATTTTGTTTGCGTTTACAGTATATTAATGAAATTCTTTCATATTTCCAACTTTTCTTTTTCTCTGTCTTGGCTATTATTCTAGGGATAATCTCTCTCTCTCTCTCTCTCTCTCTCTCTCTCAGAGTCAAATTATAGTGTATATTTATTAAAATTGTACTCCAAAGTATAAAAGAGACAGTGTAGGGAGACATTAACATCGGATGGGGTAGTTCTTCAATTCTACTCCAATTTTATGGAGAAACTATTTTAAGTCACATCATGTTAGCATGTAAACTTGCAGTTCATTGTTGTAAATTGAAGTGAATTTGTAACATCGTGCCGCCATGTCACGTGATATTACAATGCATTAACTTTAACTTTAAACGTAGGATGGAGATTGCAACAAATTAACTCAACCCAAGTTTGTTAACAAGCTCACTATAGTATGGGCCTCAACCAACACCCTTTTCATAAGTTAGTGTATTTTTCCTTTTAAAAAAACAGAAGGTTTCTCCTTGAGGCTAATGTTTGTTTTAGATGGCAAGTTCAAGTTAGGGTGTTCTACGGAAATGCTATAATGAGGAATCTTTTGGTAAGGGGGGTTCAATGTAGGGGTCCATCACACTATCCAACAAGAGAGAGAGAGTGTTGGAGTTAAATTTCTTAAATGAATGAATGTTGGGATGAAACCCCACATTGAACTCTGTCACCAAAATCGCCCTCATTATAAAAGCCGCTGGATTTTGTAACCATTATATATATATATATATATATATATTTTTTTTTGGTCTGAACCATTATATATTTTTATTTGAGAAGAAACACATTTGTTATTTGAGGATTGCAAAGAGAGTTGGAATGGACCCAATTCGCAGTGAAAATTGTTTATGTAAAATATGTTTAAATAGAAAGGTTTGGGGTTATTTAATTCATGAAGCACCTATAATAGAGATGTTTCTATTTCATCAATAATAATCTATCATGGAAATGTTTCCAATCCCAACAACAAACGCCACAAGTTTTAGATAACAATGAAAATGACATAAACAGAAGTCCCAACAAATCAAAGCTCCAATGTCAATTTTAAGGTACATTAGTGATGCTGCTACTACTCACCAAAGTTGTTTTCTTTTTGCCCTTTTCCGCAAAAAAAATTAAATTTAAAAAACACGTGGGACCGCCATTTTCTTACAAATCCAATGAGATCGCGCCACGTGTTTCTGACTCACAACCCCAAGCTCCAAGTCCAACCGGTTTGCAAACAGTTCGAGTTACAATTCCACGTGTACGGTCCCGATGCGATTCCCACGCATAGTGATTGTGCAGGGCACCCACCACCACATCATCTTATATCTTTTTTTTTCCCTCGAACCTCAAAATCCAAGTCCCTCACACTGTTAGATCTCGCCACGATCTCCGTCCGTACAATATCCGGCGTGTTTTCCGGTCACTTCGACGCCGGGAAGTTCATCGATCTCCTGTCCGCGGATCGACCGGTTATTAACTTCAGGTTCGCATTGAAAATATCACTGCTTTGATGATGCGTTACAGAGTAAAGGTTCTAGGGTTAAAGAGTCTCGCTCACCTTTTAGCTGTTAAAGTCTCTGTTTGGTTGCATTAGGGATTGCATGAGTGGTTTTCGATTCTGGGTTTTTGAAAAATGATAGTCTTGGTATATATCAGTTCGATTTTCACTTTGTTTTCCAACATTTTCTCGGTTACCAAACAGAGCATGACGATATTTGTGGTGTATGTATGATCATTGTTTATATTTCTTGTGGGTATATTTTTCTGATTTGTTTGTTTATTTCTGTTTGGCTGATAAGTGAAGTACAGAAAGGTGTGAGCTTGAGCAGTTGTGTGTTTATAATTGGAATGCCAATGTGCATTGTTGGTGGAAAGAGATTCGTATCGAGTAGTGTAAATAGTTCTTTAACTGGATCCTTGGAAAGGAAGTGCAGCAGCCTCAGTGGAGAGGAGTTTGAAGTGAAGCAACAAAAATGGTATGTTTGATGTCTCTTTAGTGAAGTTTGGCTTTCAAAATTGGATCTTTGCATGTGGCTTTTGCAATGTGGTTTTGGTAATGTCATGGATGCATACTTTGTTATTGGAAATGTGCTTTAGGTAGTTTAGTTTTTTGTTGGTTTCATGATGTAGGATATGGGTGAATTGAGCGTTTAGGTAATTTAGCGGAAGCGAAAACAATGGAAAGCATAAAATAGAAAGAACAAGGATAGGTCTGGAATCACTCCAGGGGTTTGGCTTCACACCAAGAAGTCTCCAATCTCTGGAAATTAAACTTTTCCTTATATCTCAACAACTCAACTCCATAATGAATTACATAGAAGGGGTATATATAATAATCTAACCCTAGAGTGAAAAGGAAAATTAAACTTATTCGAGGAAAGAAATCCTAATCCAAATAAAATAGGAAACTTAGAATTCCTTTTGAAATCTGGAAAAACTAAAAATCCTACTAAAATCCGGAAAACTTAGAGAACAAGTTAGAAACTAATCGCAGGAATACAAAATTGCCAGATTTAAAGACCAAATTAAATGATTTCCCCTTCCATCATTTTCGTTTCTATACCCTAATGGGTTTGACGAAGATGTCCTCATCATTTCTGTTTACTATATATGTCTGCTAAGGCTATTGAGTCAGTTTTTATTTATTACCAAACATAAAATGCGAAGTAGTTGTAATGACTGGTTATTGCATATGGCTATGGTCTCAAGGGTACATTGGTATTAGTTTTGTTTGTTTGTTTTTTTTTAATACTGAAAATAGAGCATTAAGTTTTGGTATGTCTGTATAATGTTTATACGTTATCCAAGTGGTGAAGACATCTTTCTGAGTAGTCATTTGTGACAGTCTTTTCAGAATCAGGGATTTTGGATGCCAAAGGGTACCGGCTGTTTAAATGAAGGTGAGGCGCTGTATGATAATTCTTCTAGGATTGAACCTAAGCGTTCTCATCAGTGGTTCATGGATGGCCCTGAGGTAGAGCCATTCCCCAACAAGAAACAGGCTGTTGAAGTTCCAAACAACAATCTATTTTCAGGAATGTTGAACGCAAATGTTTCTCCATGGGGGAATGTTCCCAGTTTTCACTCATTCTCTGGCCATTTCACTGAAAGGTTGTTTGATTCTGAAACAGACCGAGCTGTGAATTTTGATGATAGAAACATTCCCGCAGCTGAAACTGAAAAGATGAACTTGGCTAGAAAAGTTAATGAGGATCTATTTGGGAATGATTCCTCATTCAGTTTATCTATGTCGCATACACTGGAAGATCCTAGAACAAGTCCTAATTATGGTGGGTTTAGAAAAGTCAAAGTTAGTGAGGTAAAGGATTCTGAGAATGTCATGCCTGTTTCGATTGGACATGCTTATAATCAGGGGGATAATGGTGCCATGTTGGCAGCTCATGTTTACAAGGCCGATGACAACACAGCATCAATGGGTCTCGCTTATAAGAAAGGGGATGACAGCTTCATATCTATGAGTGATACCTATAACAGGGCAGATAACAATTTCATATCAATGGGACAACCCTTTCACAAAGGGGATGAAAACATATCAATTGGTCAAACATACAAGGAGAGTAATAACACCCTATCAATGGGTCAGACATTCAACAAGGGTGACAATAATATCATCTCTATTGGCCAAACCTACAATAAGGTAGAGGAAAGTACCATATCAGCTGGTCATATCTACAATAAAGGGGAAGACAGTACCATATCAATGGGTCATGCCTACAGCAAGGGTGACAGCAATATGTTATCAATTGGTCACTCTTATAACAACCGAGAAAGTACTATCATATCCTTTGGCGGATATGATGATGATGATGCACATACCTCGGCAATCTCTGGTTATGAACTTCTTATGGGTCAACCATTTCCAAAAACAGAAGCTATGAATGAGAAAGAGTTGGGCAAATCAAATGCTGATGCACTTGTCAATTTACCTCATATAACTACTAGAAATGAAAATATTTCTAAAAAGAAAGTTGAACAAAAAATGTCTAAGAAGGTTCCTCCAAACAACTTCCCTTCAAATGTGCGAAGTTTGCTATCAACTGGTATGTTGGATGGAGTTCCTGTAAAGTATACTGCCTGGTCGCGGGAGGTAAATCCTAGTTTTCATGCATTCATATTTCAGATTAGCATATCTTCGGTGACACATCTATATCTATTCTTCATATGCATTTTAGAAGGAGCTGCAGGGTGTGATTAAGGGTTCTGGGTATCTATGTGGCTGCCAGTCATGCAACTTCTCCAAGGTGAGTTTGTTCAGTTTTTGCTTTTCAAATCAAGGGAAGTTGATGCCCAATCTGATGACCCACCGGGCTTACCACTGCTTATTAGGTAATCAATGCATACGAATTTGAGCGTCATGCTGGTTGCAAAACAAAACACCCAAATAATCACATATATTTTGAGAATGGGAAGACTATCTATGGGATTGTACAAGAGCTCAGGAGCACACCCCAGAATATGTTGTTTGAAGTTATTCAGACTATTACTGGTTCACCTATCAATCAGAAATCCTTCCGTCTTTGGAAAGGTGATGCAAATGATCTCTTTATTTCTGTTGGTGCTTTTCCCCTAAACAACGTGACACTCCCAAGTTTTCCACTTTTGTCTGATATAACTGTTCTATTATATGGACATCTTCTTATGCTTGCTCCTTTGTCTCCATTTCAGAATCCTTTTTGGCAGCAACACGTGAACTTCAGCGTATATATGGCAAGGATGAGGGGAAGCAATTTTCATGAAGCAAGCTTGTTGGAATTGCAAGGCAGGATCATCTTTGTTTTGTGCATACAAGTAATCTTTTTTGGCTATAACTCGGTACTCGTTGACGGTGGCTTCACCACTAACACAAGGGCTTGGGCTCGGGGTAGTTAAGTGAAGGAAAATGTGTTATTGTAAATCTCTGTGATGAACCTTATGCTCTTAGAATAGAGCCTCTGTTCTTGATCGTTGGATATATGATGACAGGTTGTAGTTTGTAACGGTCTTGAAGGAAATGAAATTTAAGATATTTTGTTACTTGTTTCCTTAAAGAATGTTTCTCTTTCTTAATGTTATTACATTCAGTGCTGCAGTCTACTCCCATGTGATGGGTTTATTGTTGTCATATTTTGACATCATACATACCAAGTCACAGTGTAACAAAGTACGTTGCTCGGACTATTGAACATAAATTCTTTTTTTTCTTCTGGTACTATTGTCATTTTCCTTGCATCACCTTCAGTGCTGCAATGTTTATAACTATTGTTATCTTTAGGAACTGTGGATGATGAAAGAAATGAGGAAAGCAAAAATTTATGAAGATATTAGATTCCTCTAGTCATTTGGTCATTTCGTTACAATTCATTCGCCAGACGATGCAATTGTGATGGCCTGAAGGTTGGGATTTTCTTTTGCTTGTGCTTGTTTTGTTGATGCTACTTCCTCTTCGATTGTCGGTGTTTCGGACTTGTAATCTTTGCTTTTCCCCCATACAACCATATATAGGCCGGTGATTATGACTGCAGCACCGAGTAGCCTGTAAAATGATCAAATTAGCGAAGTTTCTTATTTATGTAAGAGCATGGTTTATGGTGGATTTAATACGACAGATACCTTCCCAGATACAGTTGCTCGCGCAAAATGAAGGAGCTCATGACAGCAACAATAACCATGCTTAGGGGACTGAAAGCTGTCACAAACACAGGGCCTCTGTATTTCATCACAATTCCTTGAATGTAATAAGCTAGCCCAGAACAGAAAACGGCCTGCATCCATTTTTATGTGTGAATAAACATAAAGAGCTGAAGAATTTAAAACCCTTTGGCTTAAAAACCAGTTTAAGATTTCAATCTTCAGGTTGAAAAAACCCAAAATGTAAACAAATTCCAATTAGTTTCTTAGCATTCTTACACTGTAACAAGCTGCTAATAACTTTGCGTCCCATTTGATAGCCCAAACGGCAGAGTTTCCCCTTTCCATCACCAACGCTAGAGCAGTTCCTTCCAGTGTGCCCATCAGGCATATCCAAGCTGAAAGGGAGAGCTCAGCTGGGTATGTTTTTAATGTGATTGACTACAGAGACATATAAAATGTATTAAATACTGATAAAATAATTAATAGACTATCAACCAATCATATGAAGAATCTTTGTTTAAACAATCACCTGCAGAATCATGAAACAGGCCCAGCAGAAGCAGCCTATTGTGATCATTATGGCACCTTTGATTGAGCTTTGGAGGCTTACAGCCCCACCTGTTTGCTGTTCATGGCTAGTTGTTCCTCTGGTCCAAAACAAATCTAACAGTGGCCCCTTCACCAGTGTCATGATCATGGCACCTGCAACTGTTGCTGCAGTCCCAAACACCTTACTTTGGCTGCGGATGCATTTCAACTTTACTTTCTCAAGCCTGAGAGCACAAAGATAACAAATGGTTATAGAATCCCCGGCCGGGAAAAAAAAAACAAAAAACCCTTTAAAGACATTTAAGGAATAATTATCAGCACATTTGTTACCTAAGAATCCAAGCCATTGCAAAAGTAAGGGCAGGGAGAATGTTGCACATAGCTGCTGCAAACGTTGCTGTTGTGTACCTCATTCCCATGAAATACAAATTTTGGTCAATAACTGGCCTGCCAAGAGACACAGAGGGAGATAAGAAATGGTTACAGGAAACTTAGGAGAAACCTTGTATAGCAAGCAATTCAAAAATTTACTCCAGTAGGCCGAGCAGCATTATCTTGATGAAGATTGGAAGCGTCATCTTCGGTCTTATTTTTCTGTTCAAGATCAAAAACACTGTTTTAGTCACTAAAAATCTTTCTTAACACATAATGTTAATGAATGAGAGAAAGAGAGAATCAGAGACTTGTCCAGGATCAGCGCGAAAGGGGCAACGACAGCAGTGGCAACTACGTGGCGGTAGACAACGAGCACATAGTTGCTCATCCCCTGGTTTAGTGCAGCCTTGGAGAGAATATCCATGCCTGCAAGCCCAAATTGCAAGAAAATAACAGCAAAGAAAGGCTTGGCAGCCTTGACTCTTTCAAGCAATCCATGTCCAAAGTTGCTCATTTTTGTGTAGATATATTATCCCACTTAACCTCTTCCTTCAACTGTCAAAAATGCAGACTTCACCTACATAAGGAAGCTGATGAGAGTGTCTAGCTTCAACCCTTTTTATATTAGAAGCTTGCCACACAAACTGCCAGATTCCTGGGTGCTGCTTAAATACATGGTAATCTGTACTTAAAATTACAGGGAACTCACTAACCTATTAAATAAAAATAATTTTAGCTGAAAACCCTTTTCACCAAACATTCGATATAAGTGAATTTGTGATTTGTTTAGTAATTAGACTACTAATTATTCCAATAAAGCCTAAAGTCTCACTTAGTGCCTCCAATTAAGTATTTGGGTATCTTTGCATTGTGAGAATGTGAAGGTAAAGAGTCCCATATTGGAAAGTTAAGAAACCTAGCAAGGGCTTATAAGGAGTTGGGCTATTCCCCCCATTGCCAATTGGTTTTGGGGTGGAATCTCAACTTCCTTCATGGTATCAAAGTGGGTTAGCCCACGTGTAAAAGCCCAACAGCCACACGTGTTCTATGTCACCCAATATGTGAGAATATGAAGGTAAAGAGTCTCATATTGGAAAGTAAAGAAACCTAGCAAGGACTTAGAAAGAGTTGGGCTATTCCTTCCTTTTTGTTTTAGACAGTTCGATGAAAACCCTTCTTTTGTATCCGTGTACGCAAATCCCATATCTGCACATGAATTATGAGATCGGAAAAGAATATATCGACACATTTTTTGCCCACTTGAAAACCCTGTCTTTTGCTTTTACGTTAGAATGACTGAAGAGAGAAAAAAAAAAGTACAACAGAACTCATTTCAACCAGATTCCCTTATTAGGGTCCAACATAGGTGATTGATTCTCAGCCTCGTCCATGTTAACGCCCTCGAATTTGTTCTCTAAACATACCAAATTCCAGCACTTGCTGGAGGAGGTGACATAATGCGGCTGATCAGTAGAAAACCAGAAGCTCTAATGATTTTGGTAGTTGAATTAATATAGATTCTGTTTTGGTGGTTTTAGTAATACAAGTGACATTGGGGAGGGGATCAAACCTAGAACCTAGGCTGCACGGATAAATGCTCTTAACCACTTATGTTACAAGCCCCTTGCATTAAAGGCCGGTTTTTACAGTAAAAAACTATGAGCGCCCAAGTTCCCACTACTCTATGTTTTTTTTTGAACACTTTAAATGGTTTGTTTCCTTGTGCTTTTTTTAAACATGATTCATCTGTAGACTAGGCACTAGTATTAAGGCTAAATGGCTAAACCAACTCCTATCTGGAACCCATTAGGTCATGTAGTTTAGAGATTGTGGGTCCAGGGCCCACTCAACAATTATGTGAAATAACGTGGATGATGTGGTTCAAAATCTTCTGCTTATTTTAGTGCTACACAGAGATTAGGGTTACATGAGGGTTGGTTTTTTCTTCTTTTTTTGTTTTGTGCATGAGGGAGTTTAGGTTCAAAGATCTTTCAGAAAATTGACATATATACTGACTTCGATCTAATTAACATTCTGGTTCACTTGGGCTACAAAAAAGAACACTCAACACATGGTTTCTGGTTCAAAAGAGAATGTTGCAGTTTGAGATTTGTCATGCTATGTGGTCTCCACATGCACCAGAGAGCTCAGCAGCATTCAAAATTATGCAGTTTTAACTGGAGCATCTTGAAAGTATTGATCTTCCACCCTCTCTCTCTCTCTCTCTCTCTCACACACACACACACACACACATCACACAAACAGGAAATATACCTCTCTCTCTCTATTGTTTTGTATGCATCAAATTCTTGCCAAAACTGAACAAGGAAACACAAAACCACCACCAACTGAATTAGATTTATATTCCATTTGGTGATAAAGGCTGATTCAGTTTGATCTTTAACTGTAAAGCCATCCACTAGCTTGCAATTCTTCCTCCTGATTTTTACTTGTACTCTTTTGTTTCCCATGTAATGGAGTTTTTTTGGCACTTAAGCTCATAATGATGACAACTTAACCATTAGCCCACATTTTCTGTTGCATCATCAGCTATAGATATTAGCATAAGGGAAGAATTTGATGGAAATGAACAATGGCATCTGAGTAGGCAACAAGTCTTGGCTGGAAACCTGATGGCAGGCAGACCATGGCATTAAGCTGCTTATAAGACCAGACATGAGATGAGACAACTTCTTTTATTTTCCTCTTTCCAATCAGTAGTGCCACTAATGAATGACAGCAGCATCCAGAATATATGGCAGTGGCATCGAGTAAGATCCATTTCTGAACAAAACTACCCCAAAAGAATCACGCCATGAAAATTTTCATGTATTAATCGGGCCACGCAATGATTCGAAAAATTTCTCGTCACACAGTCTAACACGATATGTTGTATGTTTTATTGTTAATCTAACCATTCTTATTCAAATTTCGAGCATTATCCGAAATGTTCGATTGTCAATATAACAAAAACATCTGAGTCTACTTCCTCTTATCTTCTCACTAATTGTAATGGATTCTGCATCATCCAGTGAGGCATTTGTTTTACATAGTCTCCTTTTGGATGATGAACTATAATGGGATAAACATCAATTATTTGTGCCTACGTATGGTAGCTTTTGTATCTGTCAGGAGTTGCACTGGGGACACTGAAAGTGGTTCCTCATTGCAGAATGAAACTCTGCTTTATATGGTCAGACTACCAAAAGAGATTGTTAAGATAGAAATGAGGATTTTCAAAGAAAAAGAAAGGGTTTAATTGGTGGAATCCATCACCTTTCAATTTGTATTGACCATAACTATTTAAAGCTGCTGAAAGCGATCAGAGTAAGCAAAAACACGCTTGTAGGCAATCACTGAATCAATAATGAGATAGATTTCTCCTCTCTTTTTTCCTTTTATAGATTTCTCCTCTCTTTTCTCCTTTGTACTTTATTTGCCTTTTTTTTTATAAATGGGCATGGTCCATGAATTATCAACTGCATTATTAAACTTTTGGTCAATTTTCAAAAAAATAATAATAATAATACAAGGCAGCTTTTAGTGTAGTGGAAGTCTATTAGCTCTACGGGCTACGCATCAGAAGGTACCCCCACGTCCTAATACCTCCAAGTTGGTAAACAGTTAAAAGAGAATACATTATCAGCAGCATTAGGACGCTTTATATGTAACCCACTGTGAGCATGGCCCTGCTGAAACCTGTGTTGTTCATGCTAAATGCACCAAAACTAAAATACAATGATTTTTGGGAGCATTTCAGACAAGAAAACATAGATGTTGATATAGGGATAAGATGAGGCTTTACAACATCTGTTTCGGAACATTTCGAACAAGACAATATGGAATAGAGTTTGATGAACTATCCTCACTTCTACCTTTTTTCACAGGCTCACACAGAAACACACGAACCCTATCTTGCATGCCGGATCTGAGCTATTTACAGCCAGAACAACAAAAAACAAACATCGACGCATGTTGGCAACTATTAACCATTGATTGGATTCAGCGTCACAGTGGTTTTCCACAGCTATCAATGGTTTGGAACCACCAACTATACCAGCAATGGTCAGTCAACTCCTATCTCACTTTCTAAGAATGAACGAAAGGGGATGGAAATATTAAAATGCTTAGTTAAGTCAGTCACTTTATGCTGTCGGGAGAAATTTTCCTTCCCCTTGCTTCTTACAAGATCCAAAGGAGGCCGTAAAGGAACCTTCATGCCAAAGCATTAAATAAAATGCAGCTCCCAAAAGGCATCAACAAAGCTATGAAACAATTGTATAAGGGATGAGACAGGCTACTTTCACTATTAAAGAAGGCATCAACTTCTCTGTTTATATATGCTCAAGAAGATAAACTTTCATGAAAAATCAACTAACATATAATTGACTTCCCAAAATATGAGGATCTACCATTCACACCCAAATCAGTAGTAGTTATAAAATAATGATAAAAGAAAGCGATACAAGCACAAGTAACATAGTTGTGACAAATCAGTTTTTCCCCCAGCAGAGTGTTTGCGTTGTCTTAAACATTTACGCAGCATATCATGTTCAACACACTTTTCTTAAGAACCACAGCAAGCTGATTTTTGGGCAGCTTGAGCAGCTCCGGCTCCCTGATCTGGTTGGTTAATCTTGATTGTCTGAGGCTGCCAAAATTCAAAAAAAGTAAAGACTCAGTATATATCAGACTAGAAGATGAAAGATGGGATTTAATCAAATGGTTGGCAACCAACTCAAAATTGGTATCAAGACTCGATACTCAATATTCAAAGAAAGCAAATTTCAAACATTGTAAGAGGACGGATTTGGACCAGATGTTAACACTTTTGAGGGTGACTACCAACTGGTTTATGCCCCCACCAGAGTTTGATATTAAATTATTGAACAGAAATAGTTTCTTTAAGCCAGAAGAGAGAAAAACAAAGGGGGATGAAATAGGGCTCCAACGTACAACAGAGAAAAAAAGAAGGAAAAAAAAAACAGACATTGTATATTTTCAGATGTTAAATTAAAAAGATCGTACAGACACTAATAATTTAGTTATACACAGGAAACCAAGCAACATATGTATCAGGAGGGAAAGACAGTAATATAAGTGACATGAACCATTCAAAATAATCATACCTCAGCCCTCGAGTCAGTATCCGCAAGTCTTTGCTTGATATCCCTAGCTATTGAAAAGAAGACCTCTTCCACATTTAAATTTGTCTTTGCACTCTGTAATACACAGTATTTTCAGCAAATAGGAAAAAACCAACTACTTTGTAAGTTAGAAGACACCATGAGAAACTCACTGTCTCAAAGAATTTGATGCCATACTCGTCAGCAAGTGCTTGACCCTTCGAAGTGGGGACAGCCTGAAAAATGTAACTTGTCAAGTAAAGATTGAAGATCACAAGTCACATAGCACACAAATATGCACGAACCAGAAACGTCCATAAACAAGAAAACACAGAGAAGGGATAGGAACAAACCCTTTTGCTTTCATCCATGTCAGCCTTGTTACCCACCAGGATCTTGTTGACATTGTCAGAAGCATGCTGTTCTATGTTACGAATCCAATTCCTAATGTCTGAATGCAGGTAGAAATTAGATTCATTACCATGTATATGTAATAACCAACAACTCAAAAAAAA